TTAGTCTGGCAGAAGGTAAGCTTGATGTCTAAATGGTCCAAGTCGGACCGAAAAGTCGTCGTAAGCTCCTCTCTTCTATGTTCTGGTTATTTGTGTATTCATTGCAACTGGACGAGTCAACGGATGTTGCTTCGTGTTTCCAACTTCTTGTTTATGTTCGTTACCTTGACAGGGAAGTTATGAAGGAGTACTTGTTCTCTGAACCATTGGCCACAACCACTTGTGGAGAAGATATTTTCAAAATCGTTGAAGCCTTTCCCCTTAAATACGAGCTAGGCTGGGAAGCACTTGTCGGAGTGTGTACGATGGGGCTCCTTCTATGACTGGTTGCAAATCCGGCTTCAAAGCCTTCCTGAAGAACGCCGCTCCGCATGTCTCCTTCACTTACTGTATGATTCATCGGCATGCTTTGGCGATGAAGACTCTCCCACCTGGACTTCGAGAAGTGCTTACAGGCATTGTAAATATTGTGAATCAAATCCGAGGGAGCGCAACGACTTCAAGGGTTTTTAAAGTGCTTTGTGAAGAAATGGGTGCCGACTTCTCTGTTCTCCTATTTCACACAGAGGTACGTTGGCTCTCACGTTTCAAAATTCTAAATCGCGTGCTGCGGCTTAGTTTAATATGTTTATTATGCACCCCATACCCATCCTGTGGGTGGTAGTCAAAAGATTACAGAGGTATATAATGGGTCCAGGGACTGGAGCGGCTTCGAGAGGAAATACCAATGCTGTTAGAATAAGATAGTACGGCGAAGAAGAATCTTCTTCATGAAAAGTGATCTCCCTGAATATTTCACTCCAAGGAAACCTTACAATGCTGCACACAGCTCGGAACAGAGTGGCAGCGTTCAAGTGTAAGATTAAACTTTACCAGAAAAGAAATGAGGACAATGACGCAACTTTCTTCACTCAGATGACGATTCTTCTGGATTTTATGCCAGATGCTGAATGCAGTTTCCGTGAGGAGATCTCAGCTCATCTTTTGGCAATGAATGACGCCATCGATAGTTAATATCCAGGACTGGACGACCGCTGTATTGATGCATAGATTTACAGACCCTTTTCAGTCAAGGATAGTGCCATCAGTGATACTGATGTTGCTGCTAAAGTAGAATTTCTTCAAATTCGTGAGGATTCTCAGCTGAAAGTCGACTTTACTGAACAAGAGCTCCTGACAAAAATTTTGGGTAAAAGTGCAGGACGACTGTCCCATTCTTTCGATGTGTGCACTGCCAAGCCCATGATGACACTCTTCAGGTCACTTGTTCTATCTAGGCTGGAATATTGCTGCACACTAACAGCACCTTTCAAGGCAGGTGAAATTGCTGACCTAGAAAATGTACAGAGAACCTTCACGGCACGCATAACGGAGATAAAACACCTCAATTACTGGGAGCGCTTGAGGTTCCTAAACCTGTATTCCCTGGAACGCAGGCGGGAGAGATACATGATTATATACACCTGGAAAATCCTAGAGGGACTAGTACCGAACTTGCACACGAAAATCACTCACTACGAAAGCAAAAGACTTGGCAGACGATGCAACATCCCCCCAATGAAAAGCAGGGGTGTCACTAGCACGTTCAGAGACCATACAATAAGTGTCAGGGGCCCGAGACTGTTCAACTGCCTCCCAGCATACATAAGGGGGATTACCAACAGACCCCTGGCAGTCTTCAAGCTGGCACTAGACAAGCACCTAAAGTTGGTTCCTGACCAGCCGGGCTGTGGCTCGTACGTTGGTTTGCGTGCAGCCAACAGTAACAGCCTAGTTGATCAGGCTCTGATCCACCAGGAGGTCTGGTCACAGACCGGGCCGCGGGGGCGTTGACCCCCGGAACTCTCTCCAGGTAAACTCCAGGTAAACTAACCATGCTGATCCAGTCCCCGTCAACCTATCGCTGCGAGGTTGGAGTCTCAGCAATGGTAACACTGACAACGAATGCACGCAATAAGTTTGTGATTGATGCTGGCATGACGGTACTATGTTCCACAGTCAGCCCTCCTGGCCCTATATCACTCTCTTATTTACCCCTATCTCACCTATGGAATTTGTGCATGGGGCTCAACAACAATTAACCATCTCAGACCACTAATTACCCAACAAAAGGCTGCAGTTAGAATGATAACAAATTCTCACTACAGGCAGCACACTCCACCAATATTCAATACACTAAACCTACTCACCATACAAAACATCCATACTTATTACTGCACCTATTACATACATAGAACACTTAACTCTGATATTAACCCTCCCCTCAAACATCTCCTTGCCAACCTTGCCAACAGGTGGCCCGGTGGCCTGGTGGCTTAAGCTCCCGCTTCACACACGGAGGGTCCGGGTTCGATTCCCGGCGGGTGGAAACATTTCGACACGTTTCCTTACACCTGTTGTCCTGTTCACTTAGCAGTAAATAGGTACCTGGGTGTTAGTCGACTGGTGTGGGTCGCATCGCATCCTGGGGGACAAGATTAAGGACCCCAATGGAAATAAGACAGACAGTCCTCGATGACGCACTGACTTTCTTGGGTTATCCTGGGTGGCTAACCCTCTGGGGTTAAAAATCCGAACGAAATCTTATCTAACCTCAACAGAACACATGACCATAACACAAGACACAGATCACTCTTTGATGTTTCTCGTGTCCATCTCACGCTATGCAAAAACTCAATGCACATAAAAGGCCCTAAAATCTGGAATTCATTACCTGTAAATATAAAAGAAACACTACCTGTTTATAAATTCAAGTCTCTTCTCAAAGATCACCTACTCACCCAAAACCAAATAAATACTGAATAACTGAACCTTATAAATTGTGTACGAATGGTATATAATACCGACAAGATGAGATTAAGACACATGTGCAACATCTGGGTATCTTTATTGTAGACGTTTCGCCATCCAGTGGCTTTATCAATACAAATTCTAGGACATAACTTGAAGACAGTAGAACTATGTACAGAAGATGAGGGACTGATTACCTCATCTTCTGTACATAGTTCTACTATCTTCAAGTTATGTCCTAGAATTTGTATTGATAAAGCCACTGGATGGCGAAACGTCTACAATAAAGATACCCAGATGTTGCACATGTGTCTTAATCTTATAAATTGTATATCTTAAATGTTTCTCACAATTATATCACATAAATGTTAAACCTAAAACCCAATCTAACTTTATTATTTTTTAAATACACTAGCTAACATAATACTCCATACGACTGAATGTACAACAATGCATGCAACCATATGACCTGTCTTTGTAATACTCACTTGTGCTTTATAGTTATCTGTTTACAATAATGTATTATCACTGATTTCATCATTGCTTAGTTAATTTTAAGCCAGCCCGTAATGCTATGCATAGTATAAGTGGCTTTGGCATGCTGCTCTTATCTGTATTTTTTTGTACCTCTGTACGTATGCTCAAATTGTAAATAAATAAATAAATAAATAAATTAAGCACGCCTCTCGCTTTGATAGTCTTATGCCTGTAAACAATTTCAACCCTCCCACTGAGTGAATGAGAAGTAGGTTTTGTATGATGTTCAATAGTTTTTTAGTTTATGTTTATTATGCACCCTATACCCATCCTGTGGGCGGTCCGATGATGATCAGTAGTTCTGTGGAATTTGCAATGTTCTGCCATTTGTAGAGGCTATGTGGAATTTTTCAGGGTTTTTGTTCTGTGGCATTTTCAATAAACCATGGTCTTTCTATCATTTTGTTTTATCTTACTTTTTCACAAATTTATTATAGGGGTCATGGTAATGCCCTGAAGAGTCTCGGGGGGTCATAGGACGAAACATGTAAAGAACCACTGTTCTAGAGCATCCAGGACCTTGTCATAGTGGTCCAGTAGTTGGGACAGGCAGGAGCGACCTGCTCTAAACCATGTTGTCCTGGGTTGTGTAACTGATGGGTATCTAGATGGGTGGCGATATTGCTTCATAGAACCCTTTCAAAGATTTTTATGATATGGGATGTTAGCGCAATCGGTCTGTAATTCTTTGCTATTGCTTTACTGCCATCTTTGTGGCGTGGGGCTATGTCTGTTGTTTTTAGCAGCTGTGGGACGACCCCTGTGTCCATGCTCCCTCTCCATAGGATATTAAAAACACATGATAGGGTTGTCTTGCAGTTCTTGATGAATACGGAGTTCCATGTGTCTAGGCAGAGTGCATGGGCATGCCATTTATCGCCTTATCGAAGTTGTTTGGTGTCAAGATAATAACAGATAGGTTTGAGTCTACCAAATTCTGTCCCTTTTATGAAAAATTAATTTAGGTCTTCGACTGGTTAGCGGCTCGCTAAAAACCGAGTCATATTGGGACTTGAGTAGCTCACTTATTTCCTAGCCCAATACTGGATAATAATAATAATAATAATAATAATAATAATAATAATAATAATAATAATAATAATAATAATAATAATAATAATAATAACTGATTTAAAAAATCATACAAATGATGACATGTATAAAGGGCCAAAGAATTGAAATTCATCAGCAATGTATGATTAAAATATTTATACGCCTTGAAAATAACGTTTAAAAGTATAATACGGTGTGTGTAAGGATTTATAGATTACCTTCATAAACCTCACTAAAGTGTTTTTGATATATAAATTGTTTAAGGAATCATAGAGACTTTTTAAGACAATGGTTTTGAATAGCAATCTACCAGGTGATGTTTATTTAATTTATGTAGTTGTTGTATGGTAACTGGGTGTAATGTATGAGTGTATATATATATGTGATAAGAGAAGTATGTAGGAACTACAAGCTATTTTAGAGACCAACTGACTTATTTAGTAAAACCTTTGATTTATAAAGAAGATAATAATATAGCTTGACCCAGACTCAGGATATATTAAGAGGGTAATATTATGGTGGGTATGAGAGAGGTAGGGGAATGATGGAGATGATAATAGGTGAGAATAATGATAATGTTTGTTATAAGTTGCATGTCATAGCAGTGGTGTGAGTGACGTCACACTTCAATGTTTGGCGCAAGCGCTGTGGTTGTCGTCAGCAGCCAGCACTCTCGCCACCCACCACTCATATTACTCCTCACCACCTACTTCCCTCTCTGATTAACACAGTCATGGCGAAAGCGGAGCAGGTGTTGATCTTAGAGCCCTCTCAGGAGCTCAAATTTAAAGGTGGGTTGTGTGGTAGGTGTTGTAATGTGTGTTGTATGTCTGGGCGGTGTGGGAGCCATCTTAGTCCACTAGTGTGTTTATCTGGTTATGATAGTCAGGGAGGATGCTGCACACCTCTCCCATCCTCACACTCAGCACCACCTGCCAGCTGGATCCTCACTTAACATTGTTGTAGTGGGTGGTAGGTGAGTCAGGTGGCCGCTGCTAGGTGTTCAGCACCTCCACTATCACACCTCACGCTAGGACAGGATAGGACTGGCTAGGATAGGCTAGGATAAGCTAGGATAGTGTTGGGCATGATGGCCAGCTTGACTGGCTCAGCTGGTGTGTGTTACACAGTAAGATGGTGAGTGGCAGCAGGTGTGTCCTTGATCTTCCTTGACAGTTGTAGTGATGGTCAATGTTTCTCTCAACTCTTACATTCCACTCACCTCACTCCACTATCTGTACACTCAGACTGTTAGTGTGTGCACCTCACACTCCTAGTATTCTCACAACTAACGTAATCTTACCCTAATGGAAATGTCACTAACTTTTTGGGGGTTATCCTGGGTAATTTACACATATGTTACTATGTATGATAATTTGTGTAACTGTATTTGTGTACCTAAATAAACGTAACTTCATGCTCTGGGGTGCGGCCTTGACTGAACCTCGAGCGACAGCTACTTGCTGAAGAATCGTTTTATGGTCGCTGTCTTGTGTGTTTTGTTCCCCGATGCTCTGTTATTCTGTTATTAGTAACTGTAATGGAAGTTACTTATCCTTAAATGTTTTGTATGATTTAAATTTGCTCTCTTCTATTCATACTGCAATAGTTTTACGAAATTCGAAAATAAAAAGTACTGTATTGAAATAAAATTTATTATAGTCTTAGTTGAAGGGCTGTTAGTCTTGATGCTCAGGTTGTTTGATGGTTATTTATTGAGACAGTTTTCTTTGTAATATGTTGCAATAGCTGGTGGTAGTTTTCTCGGTGTTGTGCCACTGTTTCCTACGTTGCATCTGTAGGTGTATACCTGGAGGGGGTTTCAGGGGGTCGACGCCCCCCACAGCTGGTCCATGACCTGTACTGAGGGAAAACTTAAGCATTAATGTGTGGCAGCTACTGATGTTACTAGGAATTTTGGATAAATTTTTGGGGTGAATGTACTCGAGAGTGGTTAGTTGGGGTATCTTATAATTTTTTGTTAGGCATGAAAATAGTAACTAATTCTTTCATATTATTGTGGAAATAGGAAATATTACCATACCCACCTTCATTTTTCTATTTAATATACTTAGGTAGCTTATCTGTGGGCATTTACCTAAATGATACAAACTTAAAAATGCGATTTATAATTTTTTTTTTTTTACTATGCTTGGAAAATATTGAAAGCTCATACTTAAACAGTTGTTGAAATAGCATAGCTAAACTTTATTAAACAAACCTGACATTATATTATATCTACATTTATTCATAATAAGTTACCTGAAGATATTCCTTAATCACTTCCACCTTCCTTCAAGGAAAACTTCTAAAGTTATGGAAATTCTTAGATAATTTAAGTAAAATAACCCTTTTTCTTAAAAGTAAATTTTAAAAAGGTTAGGAATACTTTAGTTTTGGTGCAAAATTTAAAATTTGCGTTGAAAATTGGCATGTAGGTATGTAAATGGTTTAGCAAACTGACAAGCTGAAGAATAAGACGTCTCCAACATTTGTGTATCTTTATTCAAATTCAAGTTTATTTCTACGTAATGCATTGTTTATACATAAATGGGTGACACTTGAGTGCACATAAAAAGCTCATGGTTATGCAGAGCATTTCAGCAATCTTGAGCCTAACTTTAGACTACATATAAAGGCAATAAACAATACATGTATGTATTTAAGGTCATTAAATGCGAACAAATAGGATTGAACCAATGAGTATATAATGAATGTATATGTAAGTAGATTGACTATATTATTGTACATAATTATAAGAAAAATTATTTGGGCTTTAGTAAGTTTATAGGTAAAATATTTTAACATTAGATGACATTAAATTCAAGAACTTGAAGCAATGACAATATTTTGATTTCTCAACATTAATTTCATCTGAAAAATGACACTACTAAATCAGAAATGGGAGTGGCTGAATTTGAGAATCAAGAGTAGATACGTGTTTGCAATGGTATTACTGAATGGGAAATAAGCAGGCAGACTATTTTTTTAACACTTGATTATGGATGCAAGTATATGAGAATAGGAATGCCTAATTTAATACATATTTGAAGTTGAAAGAATTTTTCAGCATTGTTAATTGCCAGCCAGTGGCATCATTAGTAAAATTCAAGGAATAATGGTGGAAGATGAGTTTAAGGTAATCAGTCCCTCAGCCTTGAGATTGTGTTCAGCCCATAAATCTTCATAAAAGTATAGCATATGTATTGAGAAAGGGCTTATATACTGCAGACAGGTGAGACAAAGCAGTTGTAGGTTGCATCACTCGTGGAAAAATCTGCTAGAAGGGGTAGTTTATGCCTATAAGTTAGGCAGGTGTTGAATTCCCTGTATCAAGATCCCAAGATGATGTCTAACAGGTATTAAATGGTGATTCTGCCTACAACTGTTCTGTCTCGCCTTTTGACAGTATATAAGCCCCTTCTCCACATACGTGCTGTATTTTTATCAAAACTGATGGGTTGAACTCATCATTTCAAGGCTGAGGGGCTGATTACCTCAAACTACTACTTGTCTTCCACTGTCCTTCCTTGTATTAGACTGATGAAGTCACTGGCTGGCAGCATTTCCATGGTAAAGATACCCAAATGTTGCATGAGTGGGTGGTGATGGGATATGAATCTTGATCCCCATAACCTTGCATTGTCCATAACTGCCATGAGAAATCTCAATGTTAAAAAAAATATACAATAGAAATACAGAAACATAAAATTTGATGGATTAGCCTTTACAGTATATATGTCTACTAATAACCTACACTTAGACGGTGAGAATGTTGTGTTATTTGTTTAATGTTCTAGCCATGATATAGTGACATTCAGTACATGCATGTGTATTTGTAGGGTAATTGACGAATATCAGTTGCTGTAAGATACAACATTCATAGGGAAAGAAAGGCCTGTCCAAAGAGTATATAGCAAGAAGTTAGTAACATAATATAATAAAACTACACAAGTTACACAATATAGTTTAAAGGAGAGACGTTGATCAGTGATGTTGGGATATTGGTATGTCTATCAGACTAGCTAATATTGTTGCTTTGTTCACATTTTTCATTCAGTTACTAACCCTTTTACAGATAGATTCTTGTAGCTCTGTAGAACATTTGGTTCATTAGCTAAAGACCTGCTGCCAGTTTGCCTAGAATTGTGTATTACAGCACCTAGAAGTTTGTTGGCAAGTTGTGAGCCACATCTGGGGGGGGGGATCTCCAGTGGTAATAAGGTGTACTACATAGCTTTCTTGGGTTAAAAGTGTTTAAGAATGCCTTCATTTTCATCTTCCTTCCCTCTCCCTTTTGTCATTTCAGCATTGAGGTGGGTTTAAATGCTGGATGTCCAAGAACCTAGCAACCCATTTTTCAGCCACCTATATGGTTGAAAGAGTTTTTCCTTCAATTATTCTATATTTGCAGTTTGTTTTCCCCTTTCATCAAAATATTGTGGTTTTTGAGATTGACTTTAACCCTTTCAGGGTTGGTGCCCTACTAATACGGCTTGCAGGCCAGGGTTGGTGCTGTACTAGTACGCATAAATTCTAGCGCCTTAAAATCTAGCGAAAGAAAGCTGGTAGGCCTACATATGAAAGAATGGGTCTGTGGTCAGTGTGTGCAGTATAAAAAAAAATGGGTCTGTGGTCAGTGTGTGCAGTATAAAAAAAAAAGTCCTGCAGCACACAGTGCATGAGAAAAAAAAAAACGACTGTTTTTGGTTTAAAACAGCGACTTTGCATTGTATTTTTGTATGCTATTTATGGTTGTATTCTAGTTTTCCTGGTCTCATTTTATAGAATGGAAGACATATTATGGAAATTGTGATGATTTTGATTGCTTTCACAATGAAAAGTACCTTGAAATTGAGCTCAAAGTAGCAGAAATGTTCTAATTTTTTCCAAACTTCAAAGGTAAACAAATCATGCCATGCGTCCAATACATGTTAACTGGTGAGTCTGATATTCTTTCACAAGTGCGCTGATATTGTTTATACCATTTCTACACAAATGCGTAGCCCTGCATAACATAAATCTTTTTTTTTTTGTGAGAATAAATTTTTCAAAGTGGAAAACAAAAGAAATGTAAGAGGCCTGGTACGTGAGTAATGAACAGAGGAAATGTTATTTTAGTGCCAGGAAGTTGTCTTGTTTATTCTGGGCCCTATTTGGAAAATGGCATCTTCTGAAATTTGTGTGAAATTGGCAAAATTGCCAAAATTTTTGACCACATTGGTTAGTTGAAATCGGTAAATGGGTGGTTTCTTGTACCCTTTCGATAGACAAAATGGAGTTCTAGCGAAATAGGTATGATTTTTGTCGACTTGTACATTGGAATTGGCCGATAATAGGGCTGAAAGGGGGCGAAATTGCCGATGTGTAAACATTGTTGAGACCGTTAACTTCGCGAGAGCATAATTCCGTAAGTTTTCCCATCAAATTTCACACTTTTGGTGTCAATATGACCAGGAAAAGATTATCATTTCATAAGATTTTTTTTTTTTTTTTTGAAAATCTCCAACCCTGAGAACAAGTTTAGGAGAGGGCCTGCTGACCCTGAAAAGGTTAAATACATAAATATGTATTGCTTACACTGACAATTTTATTTAGGATTTTGATTACTGTATACAGTCTCTCATCACTTAATGATGGGGTTCCGTTCCTAAGAGTAGGTCGGTAATCAAATTGGTCATTAAGCGAGGAGCATACTGTACTGGTAGTGGGTTTGTGTCAACCATCTTTAGATTTTTTTAATGTCACCTTTACACCATTTATAACATTTTTAGTAAATTTTTAAATGTTT